ATAGAACTATGATATGATCCAGTAATCTCACTTCTGGGTATATATCCAAAGGAAATGAAATCAGTATCTCAAAGAGATGTCTGCACTTCATGTTCATTGTAGTGTTATTTACAATAACCAAGATATGGCAGCAACCTAAATGTTTGTTGATGGATCAATGGATAAAGAAAATGTGTAATGTATGCACAATGGAATATTATTCAGCCATAAAAAGAAGAAAGTCCTGCCATTTGTGATAACATGGATGAATCTGGAGGGCGTTATGCTAAATAAGATCAGCCTGTAGAGAAAAACAAATACTGTATAATCTTACTTATATGAAATGAAAAACAAAACAAACTTTGATGCCATAGGAGCAGGTTAAAATGGTGGTTGCCAGGGGATAGGGAGTGGGGAAATTTGGAAGGTGTTGGTCAAAGGGTACAAACTTTCAGTTATAAGATGAATAAGTCTAAAGATCTACTGTACAGCATGGTGACTGTAGTTAATTACATTGTATTGCATATGTGAAAGTTGCTGAGAGAGTAGATCTTAAGTGTTGTCACTCACAAAAAAGATGACTGTGAGATGATGGATGTGTTAATCCACTTGTTTGTGATAATCATTCTCCAATGCACATATATATATATGTACATACATACAATATACATATATCAAATCACCATGTGGTACACTTTAAATATGTTATAATTTTATTTTTCAATTATACCTCAATAGAGTAGATATAAAAAGCACTCAGAGATGTTATATCCTCTGAGTTTGTGCACATCTACTACAAATTATAAAATAAAATACATGGGTGATATTTGTCCTCCAAGAACTTTCCCTGTCCAATTGGAGCTACACAGTGATATCCTCAACAGCACCTTCACTGGCCAATCAGAGTGGCTCCACTCCAACCAATCAGGACAGTACTTTTTGGACCAATTGAACTGAGGATTTGGGGTTCCTTTTTGTATGAGAACAGACCAATCAGGGACCAGGGGTGGGGATTTCTGGCTATATAAGTCAGCTTCTCTCTCATTTAAGGAGCATTTCCTTTTCCGTCGGAGACTGAAGACTGTGTTTTTCTGGAACATTGAAGCTGTTTCACTGGACTAACAAGGCTAGACTGGAGCAGAGCCGTCTAGCTAGAGAGGGGCCTTGCCTCAGGGCTGCCTTGCCCCAGGGCCGCCTCACAGGTGTACTGTTCCACAGTCATGCTATTCTACAGCTTTGCTGTACCAAAGTTGAACTGTTTGTACTAAACAACATTTCCTTTTTCACTGTACCCAAAATTTGGGATTTCTGTTGGTGTTGAATTGGTGCCAAAGACAATTGGTTGACAAGAGTCATTCAGATGAAATAGTTTAGGAATTTTAGTGAAGCTGCAGCCTTGAATCATTTACTCCTCATCTTTTATCAAAAGTGTTTTCTGAGATTGGTATGTACAAAAAATTATTTAAAAGCTGTATAAATCCATCTATACACTAGTCCTTGGGACCTATAGGTAGGCATCAAGAGGTCAGGAACTCCAAAATTGTATACAGAGTGGGGTGTGCATGTGCATTTTTGTGCTTAGAGGTCGTTAGTATTTGAGAGACTTAACAGAGTTTAAAATTCTTAAAAGGGTTCAAAGTTCTCATAGAATTAAGAACCACTTTCCTTCAGCACAAGGGAATGTAGTCAATAATATTATGATAACTATGTATAAAGCCAGGTGGGTACTTTTGAAGTATCAGGAGGGGGGAACCACTCTGTAAAGTACATGCTTTTCTAACCACTTTGCTGTACATATGAAACTAATACAGAATATTATTGAATGTAAACTGTAATTGAAAAATAAATTTAAAAAAAGAAATAAGATCCTCCTTGGATCTCCTCTCATGCTTCATCCCATTACTATCCTTTGCCTCTTTGTTCTTATTATTGTAAGAGTCTCCTACCTCCTTGCTTTTCTTTATTTTAATAACTAAGTATGCATTTCTAAACAAAAGTATTTATTTTTGCTTCTTTTTAAAAATAGTTTTGCCTACTTTATTTATTTTTATTTTTTGTTCCTCACCCGAGGATACTTTCCTATTTATCATCAGATAGAGTGGGAGGGAGGGAGAGAGAGAGACAGAGAGGAACATCAGTGTGATAGAGTCACATCGACTGGTTGCCTCCCTCACGACCTGACCAGGGCCGGGGACACTGCAACAGAGGTACATGCCCTTGGCCCGAATCAAACCCGCAACTCATTGGTCTGCAGGCTGATGCTCTAACTGCTGAGCCAAACTGGCCAGGGCTATTTTTGCCTCTTTTTATATTTTACATAAATGAAATTTTTATATGTTAAAAAAATGAAAAGAAAGAACCACTTTCCTAAATACTCTGAAAACTGTCTTTGGAGAAATTGGACCACAAGAAGATTATTTTTTTAGACCATATTAACTTAACTTGATGTATAATCATCTTCACTGAGTTTTGTTTTAATAATATGCCTTTCAAATAAATAATAGTTGATATAAATTTTTCAGCAAATACTATAAATATAATTGTTGAGAATAAACTTCACTTTCTACTCAGTTTTTCATATTTTACACATAAAAGTTTAAATAACTTTTCTGTAGAATTCAATGGCAGAAAAAAATTTTGCTTCAGTATCTGCTATGTTAATTCCTTTTTCCTTTTAAATAGTAACAATTACATTACTCATTCTATCTTTCTTTCATTTTTACCTTTTCTTTCAGGCAACTAAGAAAAAGAATTTAAACCCAATGAGAGCATCTGTATTGTTCTTACAAATTTTATATTTATGTCATTGATTCCATAGAAACAGCTTTCTATTTCTAATTATATTTTATTATATCTGTTTTTTTGTTGTAAACCAACTCACATCTTTTATGTAAACAGTAGCATATAAATATACATACTTTTTTTTTTTTTATCTTCACTCAAGGACATTTTTTTGTTTTTTGTTCAGATATAGCGGGAGGGAGAAAGAGGAAGAGAGAGAAAGAGAGAAACATCGACGTAAAAGGGACACATTGAGTGGTTGCCATCTGCACGACCCAACCAGGGCTGGGGACAAACTGCAACCGAGATACATGCCCTTAGCAGGAACTGAACCTGGGTCTCTCTGGACCGCAGGCCGACGCTTTAACCGCTGCGCCAAACCAGCCAGGGCTAAATATACATACTTTGAACAAGAAATTACTTTTGGAACTGGCCATGTGAGAGTAAAAGAGAGGAAGAGTTCCCTCATTACCCCGACCAGGGAAAATATATTCTTCGGGGAAGAGAGAGAATCGTAACAAAGGAAGAGAACTTATTTTATATTATATTATAAACAGATAATTTCTTCCTAAGTTTAAGCCAGGTAACTCTTGAAGGGATTTTATCAGCTATTGGGTGACCCTTTTGCCTTCAAAAAGTGGGTCAACTGTGATCATAAATGCACTTCTGGTCTCAAAATAATCCAGTTTATTTACCCAATATAAATTCTTTTTTTTATTAATTAATTTATTTTTGTTACAGATGTTTCTCCTTTTCCCCCAATGATTCCCCCTCCCCCACCCTCCCCGCCCTGTCCATGTCCATTGTTCATGCATACATGCATATAAGTTCTGTGGTTTATCTCTTCCTCACCACCCCCTCTTCTGGGGATTGTCAGTTTGTACCCCACTTCCACATCTCTGGGACTACCCCATTCTTCAGACTGTTATGTTCATTATATTCCACAAATAAGTGAGATCATATGATACTTGTCTTTCTCTGTTTGGCTTGTTTCGCTTAGGATGATATTTTCCAGGTCCCTTCATGTCGTCTCAAAGGATAAGAGATCTTTCTTTCTTACAGCTGCGTAGTACTCCATTGTGTATATGTACCGCTGCTTTTTTATCCATTCGTCTGCTGATGGACACTTGGGCTGTTACCAGATCTTAGCTATTGTAAATAGTGCTGCTACAAACATGGGGTTACATATATTCTTTCTGATTGGTGTTTCAGGCTTCTTAGGGTATATTCCTAGAAGTGGGATCCCTAGTATGAATTATTAAATACATGATTCACAACAGGAAAAAAAATAATGCAACTAATGTGCTTATTCTGTAATAATGCATGATTTTTTACTTTAAATTTAAAATCTCTCACTGTGGTATTCACTAACTTTTTAGGGATGGGGAAGGAGAGAATGAAGGGATTAGAATGGGTACATACAAAAGTTGCAGGGTTGTCATTTTTGAGTTAGAAAAACTTAGAAAAACAACATAATTATGAAAAACTTGGATAAACAACACAATTATGAATTTGATAATGGTGTAGAGAGATTAGTGTGGACCTAAGAAAGCTTTTGGTTATAACCTGATCTCAGTTTAGGTTAGTGTATGATTGTTCAAATGTTCATTTATTTATTTAAAATATATGTGTGGAGTTTCTACCTGTCTAAATACTATTCAAGAAATGAGACACAAATATGAAAGCACCAGTGTTCTTATCTTTGAGGACCATGTATGTAGTTTATGGGAGATTAATTATAGTGTCATGACCCAGGGAGAGCAACATAAGTCTGTGCAAAGTGTTCAAGATCACAGGGTGAAAATGATTGATGTGGCCAAGTTCAGAGAAGGCTTCAGAGGAGCTAATTTTTACCTGCATCTTGACAAATAAGTAAGAATTGTAAAGGAGAGGAAAGAAGGCATTGATGGCAAATGGAATGACTTTTAGATGTCTGGGGATGTGAAAAGCACACATACTTGGGTACAGTCTAGCATGGCTAGAATGTAACATGTGTTCTGATGGACACATGTTAGAAAGTTGTGGTGGATGCTAAAAGTTGGGAACACAGATTGCAAAGGGCCTTGATCATTTTAAGGTGTCTGGGCTTTGTCCTCTAAGAGAAGATGAACCTCAGTCACATAGTCACTCACACTGAATCAATGAGGTATGTATTAAATATTTATAATTTTAACACAAAAATAAAAATGATAACCCCTATTTTATTTAAAAATTCAGCATCTTTTCTATCTATTCTCTAGTTATTGGGGTTGGCAGCTTGCCCACTTTGTAAAATGGGACATCGTGCCTTTGTCTTACCTTATGGATGACTGCTTATTACTTTACATATTTCAGCTGGATGTAAGTGCTTTGCCTGTACTGGTGATTACCAAAGGAAAAGTGGAATATTCCAATATTTAGTCCATTTAAACTGAGAACAACTAACCTAGGATTTTCACAGCTGCATAGATACTACATAAATTCAAAATTGCAATAACCTTTCCATACCAGAGAATACAAATATGTTTATATTTCTGTGCCAACATTTGTAGAGCAGTAGCGGTTGCCTGGAGCATTATTTGGAAAACGATTCTGGGGCTGCATTTGAGTGCAGAGGGAAAGAGTACATTTATAATTGATTAGCAATATCTTCTGTGTGCCAGAAGCGGGGAGTTGTAGCCACATTTTTGCTTTCTTGGTTATTGCACTTTGGGGGGACAAGTCAAGGTTCACTATTTATGCCACAAATATATTCTGTTTTGTTTTTAAAACATATAAAGAATATGATAAAAAATTAGTCAACTGAAGTAGCCTGGAGGCCTCATCTTAGATCTCATACTAGGTAAACTATGGAGGATACAATATACTTGGTGATGGAATAATTATATCAGTTCTTTATTGATAGTGAGGTTAGATAAGTATAAAGAGAAGCAGAATTTAAAATACATTTTAGAAGGTGATCAAATGCCACATGCAAAGATGATAAGCATAAAAAGTTTAAGTTGTTGATAAAGAATAAAATAAGGTATATTATTTTATTGAAGCTATAAAGGCAGCATTGCTTGCACACATTGTGGAAAAGCTAGATTCATGAAGTCACCTTGTGTGCCAGAGAAGTAGAAAACAGCAAAGAGGTCTGTTCTCCCTGTGGAGAATAAGAAGAGTGAGAGCCAAGTTAAAGTTGGGGCTGAGTTGAAAGTTTCCCCAGCAAAAGTTGTATTTTTTCCACTGTTCTGACCTCTACTAATCTTAGAACTTTGTTAATGTGTGTAGAAAGGGTCATACAGAAGAAAACTAACTTTTTCCTTTTTATTAACTTTCTTTTGAATTCCAGATGTCTAAGTAATTATTTTCAAGTATCAGATTTTTATTAAATTGTGTTGCTTACTAACCACTTTGGACCTATCTTGAGGCAAGATCTTGGACCAGATTAGCCATGAGATCTTTTCCAGACCTGTAAGTCTACTGTACAATCGATAATACTGTACTGGGCAAACTCCCCTATTATCCTAAAAGCCAGACTAATTTGAAAAATTAACATTCGTTGCAGGAATTTAAACATTGATAAACTGTGTACAACTTATACTATAAATAAAACACAGACACCACATTAGTTGACAGAAGAAAGAATTGCCCCTATTTTGAAGATAAGAAGACAATTGTAAAATTAATAAATTATTTATAATCTATACACATTATTGTTCAATGAATAAAAATGACCTCTAAAGTATCTAGTAAAATATAGTATGAAGTGATGCTATTTGGTAAAGTAGATTGGTATAGAAATAAAATATTAGTAGTTTATTCAATAACTTGTTTTATGGTCATTTAAATTATTTCAGTGATTACATTTTACACTGTAATTTACACCTGTAGAACATTCTTAAATAAATACGGGCTTTCTCATGCTGTTTCTTACTTTCATTGATTTGAGGTGTGACTTTCCTCCAAGTCATGTACTTTATATATGTGAATACATATGTATATATTTATAAATATAAATACATCTATATCTTAGTATATAATATTTTATTTACATTTTGTTCAGATTTTTATTCTCAGGGCATAGTTGATGATTGAATCTTCTAAGTGGTCATATCTCCTATTAACTTCATTGAAGATTAAGGTGCTTCATTCTCCTTTACTTAGAAAGTATTTTTAAAGAGATCCATAATGTGAAAAGACAATTTGTAAACTATTATACACTGGTGATTTATATCCATTTATGTTTACTCATTCATAGCTTCTTTAGCTCACATTTCTCTCTCTCTTTTTAAAATCCACACCCGATATTTGGATACTTTTCCATTTATCTTCAGACAGAGTGAGAGGGATGGAGGGAGGGAGGGAGAGAGAGAGAGAGAGACATCAATTGTATGAACCCGACCAGGGCCAGGGACGTGCCCTTGACTGGAATCAAACCTGAGACTCTTTGGTCTGTGGGCCGACACTCTAACAGCTGAGCCAAATCGGCCAGGGCAGCTCACATCTCTCTTAACCTGAATGCATGCTTTTAATTTGGAAAATACATCTTACAGTAAATACTAAACATTCATCTTAGAAGATTTTCAAGTGGAAAAGTTCCTACTTTAAGTCATGACACACAAAAATTCTTTGAAAAATATTTCTACGACTCCTGCTTTGCTTTAATCTTGTGCCCTCCATATAAGACTGAAGAAAAAAGTGTATCTTTGATAATTTTTTTTATTAAATTAGCAATGCACCCATTAACAATATATGTTCTAAAAGTGTGATTTTCCAATTATTCCATAAAATTGGTTCTCTGGGGGTCATTTCTTTAAATATGATAAGTAAAATTAATTAAAGGTTATTTTGACGCAGTGGTCAGTTTTTATTTTTTTAAAATGTTATTGATTTTGAGAGAGAGGAAGGGAGAGAAACATCGATCAGTTACCTCTGGCACACGCCCCAAATCTGCAACCCAGGTATGTATCCTGACTGGAAATCGAACCCAGCACTTTTCAGTGAACAGAATGATACTCTGGCCAACCGAGCTATACCATCCAAGGTGGTCAGTGCTTTCTTAAAGTGATCTTAAAATTGAAAGAATGGGTAAAATTGGACCACAGGGACTTCGGTAATGGTAGGAATCTGAATCTCCCCCTACTCAAACATTTAAACTCTGAGGTTGCTGTTAGAAAAGATAAAGATATGTGACAAGTAATTATTTAATTAATTCAATATCTAGTGAAATCTGAGCCCTACTCCATGCCTTGTCACTAATGCACTCTGTGTCATTTCATTTTTCATATTATAGTTTCTTTACAGTAAAATATTCTTTTCAAAAAAAATTTTTTTTTAATCCTCACCGGAGGACATTTTTTCCCATTTTTGTTCAGATAGAATGGGAGGGAGAGAGAGGAAGAGAGAGAGAGAGAGAGAAACATCGACGTGAAAGGGACACATTGAGTGGCTGCCACCCGCGTGACCAACCAGGGCCGGGGACAAACTGCAACTGAGGTACATGCCCTTAGCGGGAACCGAACCCGGGTCTCTCCTCACTGCAGGCTGACGCTCTTACCGCTGAGCCAAACCGGCCAGGGCTGATAAATATTTTTTTATGTCTGCTTTTCCAGATGGGTTTATGCAGGTTGCTTCTTATTCCTTCATAGAACATTTTGTTGAACAAAATGAAATTGATTTCAAGGATAAATTCTCTTCACTTATGTGCTCACAGCAAAAGTCAACATAGCGTCCTGTTGCTTAAAAAAAAAAAAAAAAAAGTTCAAAATACGTATTTGCAAAATACGTATTTGGAAGCCTTAGTCAAATAGGGGATTTCCTGAGTAGGAGATGTTTTGCCCACAGGGTAGAAAAATTAGAGAACTGATTTATTAAAAAATTTTTCATATTCTTTCTCTCATACCTTTCCTCTTCCTTTTTTCCCTGTCAACTGCATTCTTTCTGTGCTTCTCATATTGAAGTTGGTTTCACATGATTCTGAGACCCTCAGTATATGGCCCTACCATATTTCTTCTCAAACACTTTTCATCATTTTTATCCACAAGGAATATTATTTACAGACTGATTATTCATAGTTATCTTGAAAGCCTGGCTCAAAGAAAGGTTTAAAGGGATTTTGCCCAGTAGGAACTTACAAGAGAGAAATATCAACTTGAAAGGAAGAATGTATACTTGTTTTGAAAAATAGAAGCTAGAGAGTTTCTCCGCCTTTGTGGACCCGTAGCCCTCAGTACTCATACTGAAATTCTCTTTTGATATTTTTATCCCCTTTTAGTTGATGACTTTTTGGATAGTAGAGAATACTTAGCTGTCTTTGTTACTCTTAAACTTAAGCCAATTTGTGGTATATGAGATGGTCAATAAATGTTGAACTACACTGAACTGAAAAGAACCTTTTGTAGTTACTGAGCAGTACTTGTAACCAACACTGTTATGGTTGGGACTGAAAAGCCTATTGTAAAAATTAAAAGAGTCATATTTTCCCCGCTGAGATTTTAATGTCTGCTTAGCTTTAACAGAAAAAAAGCCATCCTCTGGGGGGAGAAAGTGAGGTAATACAGAAATTAAGTTTGCCATGAAATGATCCAGAACAATCTAGGGCATTCTGAAGTTAGTGCCAAGTGTAGCATATGAAAAACTTTTAAAAAATATGTCAACTTTCCCAAAATATGAAGTCATTGCATTTGGTACTAACTGATTGGATTGCAAAATTCACCCACTGGAACAGTCCTAACTTCAAATGTGAGAGGTGTGAGTTCATGAAAGTATCCAAGAAATAAAGCTTATTTGTATAAATATAATAAACATCTACAAACAAAAGATGAAGTAATGACTTAAGTCAACAAGTCTTGTCCTTTGAACTGTAACTTTTAATATACCTACTTATGTCAAAATGCTTCAGAAAAAAGGAATACATTATATTTTATAATGACTATTTTTGGAAAAATCTGTATTTACTGTTTTTACTCATTATGTGAGTAATATATGCTCTTGTAAAAACTTTAATAAAGAAGGGCTTAAAATTACAAATGAAAAATCCTCCTGCTAATGCACTTACAGAAATATAATAGTTTCTTGTATATAATTATAGAACTTTTTCATATATATAAACAAATAGTAAAAGATAGACTTTTATCCATTTTCAATGTTGTATATATATCAAGTATGCAAATTTGGAATGCTCTTAAATAGTATGGAAAAAAAGCTGGACATACGTGAGCTTGAAATATGTTCATGAAATAATTTTATACTATTTATAATAGTACAGGTTTTAGTTAATTCTGAAATCAATTTTAAATATTTTACTGAATTGAAAGTAAGTACTCTGAGTGGGTAAAATTA